CTTTTGAATTTCCATTCACACATGTGCAGATAAATTCCAGCTTTGTTACTGTGTTTGCATTATTACAAGCTTTGTCTCCACTAACATCCGTGCACAGTGAACGCGCTGGGAGAGAGAATGGGATATGCATGACTTGCTCAGAGCTGTCGGTCTGACAGCTAATGTTGCATTTTGATCCCCCCCCCCCCCCCCCCCCCTCCTCCTTTTTGTCTTAATTTTGGTTTGTGTGTGCATAACAAAGTGTGTGTCTGTTTTTTTTATTCATTTGTAACCTGAATGAAACAAAAACGGGGGACAAGCAGGTTCATTCTATGTGCATGTGCTTTCCCTCTAGACTCTGGCTGCCCTAACGAGAAATTCGATAAATCTGCTTCCAAACCATCTTGCACAAGCTTTGCATGTCCACTCTGGTCCTGAGGAAATTAACAAGCGAATAGAGAGTGCCATCGACTTACGGAGTGGCGATAAGTTGAGAAGAGAGCATATCAAGCCTTTCTCACTGATGTTTAAAGACTCCAGCCTGGAAGAGAAGGTAGCTGGGGTTTTAGACAGATCAATGTTTTTTCCTCTCTCTCTCCTCCTCCTCATACCTATTTTTGAGATTTCCAAAAACAAAGCAATGACAAAGATTTTTCTTTTAAAATCATGAGTAAGCTAAAGGCACATACACTGGGTTTTATTGCCACCAAAAAATTAGCCTTTGTTTGATTTCATTATAACTAAAGGAGTTAGTGTACAGCAGGCTTACAAAAATACATTAATCATTAGGGTTAAACACAATTGGAGCCAAAAAAAAAAAACATTTTCTCATTCAAAAATGCGTCTGTATGGTGTCTAAGTTTGAGGAGTCTCAAGTGTGCCCCTATTAACCAGCTTTCCTCATTTAATTTATTTGTATTTGTTTTTAACTAAAAAGATTTAAAAAAAAAATGCAATACTTTATTAAATTAAACAGAAACCAAAGAAAAATAATGGGGTAATTTAAAAGCACTTAAGTAATAATCATTTTCAATCATCTTTACACGAACTTCAATGTTATTTTATACCACAGAAAGCAAAAGAAAACAAAAATCAAACTGAAAAACTAAAGAAAAATAATTGGATAACCTCTGCTGTGTTTGAGATTTGTCTTTGACGCTCTGTCCTCTTAAAGCAACTACAATACGTCCATTGACACGTAACCATAGCAACCTTAGGTGGCAGCATTGAATAATAGGTAATAGGAGTTAAATGGGGTTTGGTTTGAAGAGATACAGTTGTGCGTGAAAGTTTACATACCCTCCCATTAAAGAAAATGATCAATCTACACTGAAGAAAGTAATAATAAATACAATATAAATCTACTAAGTTAAAATAAAGTATTGATTTAGATTTTTTTATTGAAAAATGTGACTGTCCCAGTCAAATTAAAGTATCTTGTTCATGAACAGTGAACCAGCAAACTTGTCAATTTTGCAGAAGTCTGACAACAACAAAAACACCTGATTTCATTGATTGTCTTAAAATGTTGCTCAACAAATTATTAGTTCAGGAGCTGCATTCAAAATCAATATTATTTCCATTTTTTATCATTTTACTATTACTTGTGTCAATTTCAATGTATTTTATTGACAGTTAATGTTTTTCTTCTTTTAATGCAAGCATGCGTAAACTTTCAAGCACTGCTTATAGTTCTAAACAGATAACACATTTTTTTTGGTAACTTTTGCCAAACAAAATAATATTGACCCGTATCCTATCTCCTCTCATAGTGAGATGCTGCAGCAACTGCCAGATAAAAATATGACTCTGGTTATGACATCAACAGTCATGCCCTCTGGTGGCTATTCTGGATGTAATAATGTACATCACAAACACAATTATCTTGGCACACTTTGGACTCCATACAATGTTAAAAAAACACAAGAAAATTGGCTTTCAAAGAACACCTGAGTATTTTTTTTTTTTTTTTCTTGGTGTGTTTTTTTTATTTTTTTATTTTAAGCTTACTGTGTAAATCCTTATGTACTTTAATAATTATAGTATAGTCAGATATGGTTTGGTAACATCACTTGTTTCACTACAAGACAAAGATCTCCCTTCAGTTTACTCATGACCACCTTTTATCTCCTCTTTTAACTTTTAATCACTGCATTGAGTAAAAAAAAAGAAAAATAATGAATAAAAAGGCAACAAAAAAGATTTGTTTCTTCCAAACTATTGCTTCCACTTCCCAAAGTAATCCTTATATAACAAGATTAAAAAATGTGGACCTCTAAATATGAACTTTCTCAGAATAGTGATTTTACACAAGAGCCAATTAATAACACAGCTATTAATACATCAAATATTTAATTACTAAGGCACATTAGTAATGATCTGTTGGTAATTTACTGTTAATCTTACTTAAAGGAGCAATAAGCAAAATTTCACCTCTACAACAACACTATATTTTAATACAACCTTCTATTGAGCTAAATAACATGACATATGGAAAGTCTGTTTATATTAATTAATAGCAATATTAATAAAAATATAACTGATTCCTTCCATAAGATTGAGCCTAACTACATGTTATGTTGCTTGTGAAATATCCTATTGCTCAAAATATTCCATTAATATACCTTTCTTTTTTATTTTGATGCTCAATGTGAGATCTATTTTTTACTTTGTCAGGTCATTTTGATTTATAAAATAGGAGACGACACACTCAAGTTGCTGTCGGTATGAAGCAACACAGAACGCCACAAAAAATCAATAAAACAATGTGAAATTCAAGGCTTCAGTTGTTCATTTCAATTTAAGATTATTTGTCAAAAAGAAAAAGCCCTGAATGTACGTAGACATTCCTGTACCTTGGTAACCCCAGGCCAATGTTAATCCTCATCTTGCTTATCTGACGGCTTCTTTATCAAAAAGTTTTTTTCTTTTTTTTTTTCTGTGGCAATAATGAGTCCTGATTGAACGGCTTGGTACGCTAGATGCACTATTTGCTCCTATGCTACGCTGGTAAGCCCCGTAGCTGTTTTCCTGAACGTGAGGCTACATAAAACAAGAGACTAGAGAACAACACAGTGAGACGGTGACAGTGTGTGACATCTTAACATGGATCATAGCTACCCTTTATTCTTCTGAAAACTGTTTTTAGTTTAGTTTAGTCCTCACATAGTTAAATTTTGCTTATTGCTCCTTTAAAAAAAGGACTTCTAGCGCCTAATTTAGAAAACTCATGAATATTACAGTCTAATTATCACATTTATTGAAGACAGTCTGTGTATCTATTGTACAGATTCATCTTTTAACACTGCAGAGCTAACATTTTAGAGACAGCCGAGTCATCTGCTGCAGCATTAAATTAATAGATGGTTCTGTCATGATACTTATTATCATGTCATATGAAATGGTTACAAGACAGAAATGGATGAATGTTCTTTTTCTTTGCTGAATGCAGTGTCCTTTTGTCTAATTTTTCTTATTTTTGCCCATTCATTTGTTGCTTTAGGTCTATATTGGCTTTCAGCCCTTCATAATTGTTTTGTTTTTTTCCATAATAACAGAATCTCAAGAAAAATGTCCCCTGCCTTCATTTATATTTATTTAATTGACTATCTGGATAACCACTAAACTCCCTCAGTAAATGTGCAGTGATTTGGTGTTGCCCTCCCTTCATCATTCTTTTAAATAATTTTTTTTGTTTTGTTTTTCTGTTTTATTTGTTATTTTGTTTTCTATTGGAAAAGTTGTGACAAAGCAGAAAACGTCCTCTTGCTAATTTCCCAGCACCCCTTAAGAAAGAGACAGAGAGGTTCGGGGAAGCCGGTGTCACTGGGGTGGAAAGAAAAGAAGTGGAAACTTTAGTAGCATCTTTTCTAACAGGACTGGCTAAAGTACACACACTTATACCGTTATCCTCATTAAATGTTAGGGGAAAAAAATCTGAAAATGTAGGATATTGTTTTTGTTTTTTTATCAAAAACCATTATTGAAAAGCATGTTTTTCTGCAAAATTCTAGCAAAAATTTGTCTCTTTAAGGTTTTTATGAGGATAAAAAGGTAGAAAAGGTTTTTCATTAAAGGGCTTTCCTGAAGTTATAGTCAAGTCGGCTTTATTATCAATTTCTTTACATGCACTGGTCATACAAAGGAATGAAAATACGTTTCTTACTTTCCCATGCAGACATAGACATACCTAAAAATACAAACATGGACATACTTTAGACACAGACATAGACAATATATAGCTAATCTAGTTAAGCTCATTCTATGCATTTTTTTTTTTTTGCTACTTTCATGCACAGCCACAATTATTTTAGTTATAAAGGTTCATATTTAAGCCATTAAATAAATTATGATAAAAAAAGTATAAAGCCTTTTAGGTGTTTCTGTCACCTAATAATGAGGATAATATAAAAAAATTTGATACCTTAATATAAGTTTACAAAAAGTATTACATTCTGAATGTTAAATCACAATCAACAAAAGTGGATTTCAATATGTTTTTCTATGACAGATGACATCAAATGGTACAAAAAGCGATTAAAACCATTATAAACAAGAATATTACGAACTAAAAACGGAACTTGTGAATTTGTTTTTTAATTGCTTTTTTGTTGTTTTGAATCAGAGGGGCAACAACTTTTCTTTATAGAATAATTAAGCATGTTTAAGACTTTTCCGAGTCTTCAGACAGCAGCATCTGAGTTTAATTTCAGAGTTATTTTCACTCAGCACTCTCTGTTGGCGTCTCTGCTAACATTTGAAATGCTCATAGCTAGCATTGTGCTTGTCAGCTTCGCACCTTCCCCAGGACCCCACAGCTAACCCACCAGCTCCTGTCTCTCTCTCTAATGCTTGTGGTTGACCGAGTTGCATGCATCTGTGGCAGTGCATCTGTGTGTTCGGTGCATTTTGACTTGTTCAGTCTTCGCTGTTTGTCTGAAAACCTGTTTCTCCATTTTTCCCCTCACCTCCTCTTCCCCTTCTTTTCTCTTCTCTTCGTCTTGGTCTCTTTGCCTGTGCAGTACTCACAGATGAGGGACGAGGTTTTCAAGTCCAACCTGGTCTGCGCCTTTATTGTGCTCATCTTCATCACTGCTATTCAAAGCCTGCTTCCCTCTGCCAGGTAAGGGGAAAAAAAGCACTGACTTTTTCACCTGATATTTTGACCAAAACTAAAAATTAACTTTCACAAAAAAAAAAAACAAGGGGTCCTTGGAAAACAAACCAAAATCCTCGCCTTAAAGAAAGTGATAATAAAACTCAAACTTTGATAGATGATTTTTACTCTAAAAAAAGAATTAATAAAACCAGTAGAATTATTTCCACATCTATCTAAAAGACAAGTCTCAACAATAACCATTTGAGTATACCAACTAATGGTTTAAGAAGTGATTACTGCTAATTATGCTAGTTGTTGTTGGTTCCAGCTCCCTCTTCACAGCAGCCACCCTTTTGGGTCTTTAGGGAAGCAGTATAATGGGATACTGTCATGATGGGTTCACAAGAGAGACCCAAGTATGCAGAACCCACGAGAAGGAGGCTGATTGAAAAGTTAACAAAGGTTTATTGTTTCACAAGAACATGGAAATAACTCTGGTACTGGTTCAGGCCTGGGGGGCTGGTTCACTGGAGTCTGCGTGGGAGACAGTTCTGTTAGCGTTGCATCAGAAGAGCTTGACTTTGAGAGTCTCAGGTTTGTACCTTGAGGGTTCTTGGTTAAAGCTTTGGGAGGAGAACTGTTGGGTCCAGAGATTGTTTGTTCAGCAGAGTCCGTTAGCTGCTTCAGCGTCTTACTTCTAGAGAGAGGGCAGACCTTGGTCTTGAGTTTCCAGCTCTTGGTCCAGAGCTGCATGGAAATCCAGAGAGGAGTCTTCAGGTTTGGCTCAGAGGGCAGACTTGGCAGGTTAAGCTCTTCCAGAGCTTCACAGGAGAAAAACAGCTTTCCTGAAAGTAGAGACAAAAAGGGTTAGAATCCAGTCTGGATTCAAAGTCAACAAAGTACTCAGAAGGATCTTGGCTTAGGTGCTAACCAACTGGATTCAACACTGCGGCATTGAGGCAAGGTCTGAAGACAGCTTATATAGTGTGGACCCTCTGATGAAGGAATGAGCCTCAGCTGTGCAGGAGGCTCGGCTCCGGAGGATCCACGGCGGACTCTGCTGGAGGAAGGTGGTACTACTCCAGCTCCCAACAGATACCATCCTTATCAGTTCGTGGACCCATATGCCGAGCACAAGATTACCATGTTTTTTTCTGTGTTCTTTAAGGTAATATGAAGAAAATACAGTCGTTTTCTATGTTCAGTTCAATTCAATTTGTTTAACCAGCTCCACAGGCGGGCCTGTCTAGGAAACACACAGCCAGGCAGACGAGCTCTGAGCCAGCTCCCATGTCAGAGGCTGACAGAGAAACAGGACCACACTGAAAAACCAGCCAAGCTCCAACATCTGTAAACAAAGGTGTTGATGGCAGCAACACAACTAATATTTCTGTCCAGGATGAAGACACAGCCAACAGGAACAGAACAGATGAAGCTACTGTGAGAAAAAGCAAAGAGAGCATAAAGTTAGAGACTGAACTAACAAATTCTGCAGAATGGGAGTATAAAGATAGAATGAAGCAGAAAATGAAAAAGGGTCCCTATGTTCTCCAGCTGTCTAAGCCTATAGCAGCATAACTAGAGATAGATCAGGATAACCTGAGCCACTCTAACTATAAGCTTTATCAAAAAGAAAAGGGTGTCTGCCTCACGGACTAAAACTGGTTCCACAGAAGAGGAACCTGATATCTAAAATATCTATGTCCCATTGCACTTTTAGAAATTCTAGGAACCACTTGTAAACCTTCAGATGAGACCAAGGTGCTCTCATTCATATCTGATGTAAGATGGAGCTTGGCCATTTAAGGCTTTATATGTGAGAATGAGGATTTTAAATTCTATTCTGAATTTAACAGGAAGCCAATGAAGAAAAGCTAAGAAAGGAGAGATATGATCTCTCTTTATAATTTTCAACAAAACTCTGTATGCACGGTTCGTTTTTTTGCTGCCCAAGGAGGGGGAGCCACAGGTGTCACATGATTGACAATCAGCTCCACAGACCCTAAAAGCTGCACAGTATCTTTCCCTTCTAACTGCTTCCCTCTAGCCATAACAAACCTTAGGTTTTCTATTTTTTAAATTTTTTTCAGTGAGGATTATTCATATCTATATCCTAAATGCAGCTGCATGCAACCCTGAGCATCTTTAGGCTTAACCATCTTTTTTTAATCACTGAGACTTTTATTTTTTTCAAACTGAATGATACATCTATAATCAAGCAGAATGAGCACAGTTTTTAAACACCTCGAATTCAGATAAATGGCTTCGGCTGTTAATGTAATCTTCCCAGGTCCCCCTTGGAAAAGGGATTTTAGATTTCAATAAGGTTATATCTGGTTATAGAAACGTAATAATTATGAAGACATTTTAAAAGACAGACTGCAGCCTTTGTGTATGAAGATGTTAGGCACTGTTTGATCTGATTTTTTGTAAAGCTTGAAATTTCAATTTTAAAAAGAGTGTGTTACAAAGAATAATCTTTCTTATTGATTAAAACAATTACATTTTCATAACACTAAACCTATGTTCTGCTGCCTTTGTTACTATTTTTTATACCAATAAAAACATGAAAGTATGAAAAAGAAATCTCACTAAATACAGTATATATTTTTTTTGCTTTTTAGCTATTAAATTTTACATCTTAATCCAATTTGGTTTCTGAAGTGGAATATTTTATACAGAGTTCTTTTTTTAACAAGACTTACAAATATTGTTTTAAAGAAAAACTTTAAATCATTATTTCTGTTTCTTAGTGGACAGTTGCTTATAGACTTGATTTGTTAGGTTGGCTAAACTTGTTAATGTAACAGTCAGACAGTGATGGAAGGTGTATCTGCATATGGAGCCGTTAGAAAGACTTCAGCTTCCCAGAATCTTATTAACATAGAGGAACAACAATTATATCTGTAGCGTGGCGTATAAATAATGAATCATTGTCAGCTCCTGGAGTACATGTGTGGTAAAACACAAGACATGAGAGCCTCTGTCCTGCTGTTCAAAACACTTTTAGTCATAATTGGAGTCTATTGTGCCCTGAGATGATATTTTATCTACAAATCCAGTGGAAGTAATCACTCTGATCCTGTGATAGTCATTGCTTCTTCATCAGATGATTCCATCATCACCTGGGAAGTCACTGAAAGCCTTGATGATGGTCAAGAGTGACTCTTATCTGAATAGGGATTTAAATTAACTCTTAAAACCTGCTTTATGATCTCAGGTAAATCAGGACACCTGAAGAAAAGAAAAATCTGTGCGCCTACTTCCCTGAGCATCGAAGTCTGTTGCTGTTTTTATCCGACAGAAACAGTCAAAGTATGAAGCTACTCTAGTGGCTAAATATTGTCAAAAACCTACATCCACGGACCCATTCAATAAATCACATTATTACTGCCCCCATCCATCCTCACCACCTTCTACAGAAGCACCATAGAGAGCGTTCTGAACAGCTGTCTCACTGTGTGATGTGGAGGCTGCCTCAGACTGGAAGAAGGTGAGAAGAGTAGTGAAAACAGCAGAGAGGATCATAGGGGCTCCTATTCCCTCCATAAAAGACACTTCATCCCAGCGCTGCGTGTCCCAAGTCTGTAACATCATTAATGACCCCTCACACCCCCACCATGGACTGTTCTCCCTGCTGCCCTCTGGGAAGAGGCTTTGCAGCATCCGATGCAGGTCTAGCAGATTCTGCAACAGTTTCTTCCACACTGCCATCAGACAGCTGAACTGTTGAAAAAAAAAACTTTAAATCATATCACAAACCCTGCATCACACTGATAACACCAAACCAAAAATACTGCATATTTGCATTATACAGTAAATATTAATGCTCTCAACTTCCATATCCATGTGGTTTTTTTGTACCATGTTTTGTTTCTCTCAAACTGTTTCATTACTGCTGCACTTTATGGATTGAAGTGTTCATTTACTGTCTGAAAAGCTGTACTAAATAAAATTTCGTTTTGTAAACAATTTCTGTATACAAAATGACAATAAAAGTTGTCTAAGCCTGAAAAGGTAATTTATTCAGCAACTTCGTCACCAGATGAAACAGTTTTTTTATACAGATTGATGTTTTAAAAAATTTATTTTTGTAAGTTATACAGATTTTCTGTTTATATTTAGTAAATCACAGCATCTAAAATTAGAATATTACATTTGAGCGAAAAAAGTATTTTAATACAGAAATGTTTTTCTAATACACTATATTGCCAAAAGTATTTGCTCACCCATCCAAATTATTGGAATCAGGTGTTCCAATCACTTCCATGGCCACAGGTGTATAAATTCAAGCACCTAGGCATGCAGACTGTTTTTACAAACATTTGTGAAAGAATGGGTCGCTCTCAGGAGCTCAGTGAATTCCAGCGTGGAACTGTGATAGGATGCCACCTGTGCAACAAATCCAGTCGTGAAATTTCCTCGCTCCTAAATATTCCACAGTCAACTGTCAGCTGTATTATAAGAAAATGGAAGTGTTTGGGAACGACAGCAACTCAGCCACGAAGAGGTAGGCCACGTAAACTGACGGAGCGGGGTCAGCGGATGCTGACGCGCATAGTGCGAAGAGGTCGCCAACTTTCTGCAGAGTCAATCACTACAGACCTCCAAACTTCATGTGGCCTTCAGATTAGCTCAAGAACAGTGCGCAGAGAGCTTCATGGAATGGGTTTCCATGGTCGAGCAGCTGCATCCAAGCCATACATCACCAAGTGCAATGCAAAGCGTCGGATGCGGTGGTGTAAAGCACGCCGCCACTGGACTCTAGAGCAGTGGAGACGCGTTCTCTGGAGTGACGAATCGCGCTTCTCCATCTGGCAATCTGATGGACGGGTCTGGGTTTGGCGGTTGCCAGGAGAACGGTACTTGTCTGACTGCATTGTGCCAAGTGTAAAGTTTGGTGGAGGGGGGATTATGGTGTGAGGTTGTTTTTCAGGAGCTGGGCTTGGCCCCTTAGTTCCAGTGAAAGGAACTCTGAATGCTTCAGCATACCAAGACATTTTGGACAATTCCATGCTCCCAACTTTGTGGGAACAGTTTGGAGCTGGCCCCTTCCTCTTCCAACATGACTGTGCACCAGTGCACAAAGCAAGGTCCATAAAGACATGGATGACAGAGTCTGGTGTGGATGAACTTGACTGGCCTGCACAGAGTCCTGACCTCAACCCGATAGAACACCTTTGGGATGAATTAGAGCGGAGACTGAGAGCCAGGCCTTCTCGTCCAACATCAGTGTGCGACCTCACAAATGCGCTTCTGGAAGAATGGTCAAAAATTCCCATAAACACACTCCTAAACCTTGTGGACAGCCTTCCCAGAAGAGTTGAAGCTGTTCTAGCTGCAAAGGGTGGACCGACGTCATATTGAACCCTATGGATTAGGAACGGGATGTCACTTAAGCTCATATGTGAGTCAAGGCAGGTGAGCAAATACTTTTGGCAATATAGTGTATCTGCATAAAATGTTGTTTTTTCAAAATTAAAGTTGTCCTGACAATTGAGTCTCATCAGACTCATACTGTGCTTTAACTGTACATCTGTGCTTTTACTTCTTTCAAATATTTTTATTTTTTGACAAATTATTTGAACTTAGTGCCATATTTATTTGTGCCCTAAAAAAATTATGAAATAAACATATTTTTTTATCTCAGGGGCATCATCATCACACTGACACTGAGAAAAAGACTAAACGATGCCCTGTTTTTAGGACTTACGTTGAGTCCACTAGATTTTTATATTTTGTATATCCTAGTATTAATAAAGTAAATGCTGCAAGATCACTAAAAAGGCTCCAGGGTGTTTTGAAGAGAAGCAGGCACACAGCATAACAGATCCTCCACCATCCCTGATATTGATTATGAGAGCTTCTCCAGGCTTGTCTCAAGTGTTTGTTGCAGAGAAGTTCACTCCACGAGATCCAGGAATTATTTTATCATTCTTAAGATAACAAGAAAAAAATATATATTTTGCTTCCAAGTATTAATAATCATAGAAAATATTAGCTGCTTAAGTCCGCTGCATTATAATATGTTACTAAATATCAGAAAGTGAGCTTAGCTGGACAGGCGACGAGTTGAATGTAGAGGAGTGGACAGTTATAAGAGCTTATGGATGTTCTGGAATATTTGTAAAGACTGCAAACACCAGGGTAGTGCAGCGCTATGGAGGTGGGACTGCCCTGTTTGGATAATTTATAGAGGAAACACTGCAAGTGAGCAGATAGGGCTTGTTTAACCATTTTAAGCCACCAGAGTTGAATTAAGTGACTACAGTGTTAAAGTGAGACATCTCCGATTTTTCCAACCTAAATATTGTTATTTGTGATGGTCGTATAGGAAAGGTGTTGTTTTGTATTGCAACTGGCTGCTGTTCTCTAGCACTGAGCTATAGACATGCCTCCTCACACAGCCACCCACATCAAAGCTCTAGTTTGCTTCAAATAATGAACCTTCCTGTTGCATGTAGCAATTCCCTGCATTGTGAAAATCTTAGCACAACTGCCGAAGTTGAACAAGATTTTGTCATTTCTGTTTCTGCTTGGTTGTAATGCCATCCTCGAGAGAAATGTCAGCTGGGTCGCTGCCATCAACAACTTCAGTTACAGATGATAGAGTTGGACCAGTATTTTAGTTCTGTTGCAGGTTTCTTCCTGTTAAAAGGAGGTTTTTCCTCTCCACTGTCCCAACAAGCATGCTTGGTGTGAGGGGTTGCTGTCAAACTCGATGCAATCAGCTGGTTTTCCTAGATAGATACCCCTTACCAATCTGTCTGCTTGATCTGATTTATTGTTTCTGTAAAGCGACCTTTGAGAGTCAATGAGAAGATGTGAATTGGCACGGTATAAATAAACTGAACTGACTTGAATTTAATTGACTTGGCTTGACTTGGGCTGAGTTGAGTTTAGTTGAGTTGAGTTATGTTGAATTTAATTGAATTTTTACCCTGGGGTAACCGCATTAACCTAAAAAGTCAAGTATAAAATTTAATCTACAGTTACTGTACTAAAACTGTTGAAACTAAAGCTTAGAGTGATAACAGATATTAAAACAATTAATTCATAAATTTTTCTTTCTGCTTTGTATACAGTAAATGAAAAGTTTCAGCTAACAATTTTGCATCTGCAACAAAAGCTTGGTTTGGTTTAATGCTTTATTCATATCATTATCAGGCAGAGCAGGTAAATAAATAATGCAGCTTCTCATTTAACTGTTGGCTGTGTGGGTCATTATTTCGCTAAGCTTTTTTGTTGTTTTTCTGAAATGTTGGATTCCTGATTTTGAACTGACTCCGACAGAAAAGATCATGATGGTGAAGAAAGTCCAACTTAAACAGCTCTTTCAAAAAGGTCACGACTATGCAGGTTTTATTCCAGCTATTAGAGAATCCTCTAAGTTTAAAATGTCCTTATCTGGAGGCCTATTTTATCTGGGTCTGTTGTTTTTTTTCTATGCAGAATGATGACGATGGTGATCCAGTTTTCCATCCTGATCATCCTCCACTCCTGCCTGGTTCTCGTCACGACAGCAGAGGACTACAAATGTTTGCCTCTGGTCCTGAGGAAAGCCTGCTGCTGGATTAATGAGACGTACACAGCAAGGAACGTCATCATCTTCGTCTCAATCCTTATTAATTTCCTTGCAGCAATGATCAACATTGTAAGTATAATTTGTGGGTAAACTTAAAAAGAAAAAAATTAAGATGTTGCTTTTTTTTTTCTAGAGTCCAGTTTTCAGCAATTTACTTCAGAAGGAAGTTAGGAAATCAACAAGTTGTATAAAAAACTGTCATCCAAAACTCTCTATGGACACTGGAAATGGCTACATATTTTAAATCTAAATATATTGCAAACGGACACAGATGTAATTGATGAAGCATACCAATTCTGTTGTCTGGGACTATGACTCTTACCAGTGACACTTATTTTCACTGCCACTATTAAATCTAGTTGCTTTAGACATAAATGTGTCTTCTGCAGCAATCAGTTATCATCTCTTTATATTATGTATATATATATCTATATATATATATATATATATATATATATATCTATATATATATATATATATATATGATTACTAAATTAAAGCAAGGCTCACAGTAAAGCTCACATTTAATAGATTGCACTCGGCAATCGGAGTTGGCTGTTTTATTTTCTTCCCACCCCTGTTCTTAATAGAGGTATCAGTACCAGATACTCCATAATTTGTGCCTAAGCCTTGTCAGGTACTGGAGCAAATTAAATAGACTTTTCTATTTGTATACAGCATTAGTCTAAAAAAGAAGTGAACTAAATAGATAAATCAATAAAAAAAAAAATAATTATTGTACCTTATGCAGACTAATTGGGAATGTGGCAGGAGCCCATTTCTCCTCGTGCACAAGTTTATAAGTTGCTATTTGCATCGCTCATAGAAGCTTACTATCCAAAAGAAGATTTGAAAATTTTCTGCTATGTCAGACTCACCACCGATAAATGAAAATGGGAACGAGCACGTAGGACGGCCTTATGTAAACACATCACCAGAATGATTGACAATTAGTAGGACCACTTATTTAGATGCTCCACCTGGAAAAAGATCATCCTCCACCATAGCTTTAAGTAATGTTTTTCTTTGCATGAGGCACACCTCTGGTAAAAAAAAAAAAATCCCATAAAATGCTTTCATAAGTTTTAATTGAACCTGCAAACAAACCAACAACGCTCTTCAGTAAAATCCCTCTGGACTTTTTGAGTCCAATGCTGAGGCTGTCAATACTCACTTCATCTGTTTAGTGGGGAACTCCTTGTTCTGCCAAATGTCCCCATCTCACAATGTTAGAGAATCTTAAAACAAAAAAATCATGTATCCATATTAATTTATGGATTATCACCAAATTTTAATGGGCTATTCCTTGGCATGAGGACACCTCTTATAAAAATGTCATTAAAATCTGTCAAAACCTATCAAGATACCCAAATTAAGCATAACTCAACGAAATACATATTTACACTGTTTATTATAATCACAATGATTTATTTTCTAATGATTCTGATAATTGTCGCACATTTTAATTAGAATGGCTTTTATATTTAACATGAGTCTAAAGGTTTACATTGAAATTAATCCGCCCTGTCGGTCTTTCACAGCTGTGGTGTGACTTCGATAAGCCCAACATCTTCAAGAACCAGACGTACAACGAGTCTGCCTCCATTCCAGACATCTGCTTCTACCCAGAGGTACCAACTAAATGAGGTGTCGAAATTCTGCAGTCAGGTCCATCTGTTGTGTTTTTTTCACTTCTGCGACAGTGGCAAAATGATGAATTAAATATTGTCGACAGCTGCTTGTGTCCCAGAGGGAGGTCTCGCCTCGGACACGCCGACTGATGGAGCCATCAGAACGTCACATGGAAAACATCCATTATGCTGTTTTGTTCACACAATATATGGTTGATTGATGGAGCCAATAAGCGAGCCACATTTTTATAGCCCCAAGCTTGAGCTGAGTCATGTATTGTTGTATACAGGTGCTGGTCATAAAATTAGAATATCATGAAAAAGTAGATTGATTTCAGTAATTCCATTTAAAAAGTGAAACTTGTATATTATATTCATACATTACATACAAACTCATATATTTCAGATGTTTATTTTGTTTAATTTTGATGATTACAAATGACAACAAATGAAAATCTCAAATTCATCATATCAGAAAATTAGAATATTACTGAAGACCAATAAAAACAAAGGATTTATAGAAATGTTGGCCAACTGAAAAGTATGAACATGAAAAGTATGAGCATGTACAGCACTCAGTATTTAGTTGGGCCTCCTTTGGCCTGTATTACTGCAGCAATGCGGCGTGGCATGGAGTCGATCAGTCTGTGGCACTGCTCAGGTGTTATGATAGCCCAGGTTGCTCTAATAGTGGCTTTTAGCTCTTCTGAATTGTTGGGTCTGGTGTATTGCATCTTCTTCTTCACAATACCCCATAGATTTTCTATGGGGTTAAGGTCAGGAGAGTTTGCTGGCTAATTAAGAACAGGGATACCATGGTCCTTCAACCAGGTACTGGTAGCTTTGGCACTGTGTGCAGGTGCCAAGTCCTGTTGGAAAATGAAATCTGCATCTCCAAAAAGTTGGTCAGCTGCAGGATGCATGAAGTGCTCTAAAACTTCCTGGTATGTGGCTGCGTTGACCCTGGACCTCAGAAAACACAATGGACCAACACCAGCAGATGACATGGCACCCCAAACCATCACTGACTGTGGAAACTTTACACTGGACTTCAAGCAACGTGGATGAAGTGCCTCTCTTCTTTTCCTCCAGACTCTGGGACCTTGATTTCCAAAGGAAATGCAAAATTTACTTTCATCAGAGAACATGACTTTGGACCACTCACCAGCAGTCCAGTCCTGTTTCTCTTTAGCCCAGGCAAGACGCTTCTGACGCTGTCTGTGGTTCAAGAGTGGCTTGACACAAGGAATGCGACAGCAGAAACCCATGTCTTTCATACGTCTGTGTGTGGTGGTTCTTGAAGCACTCACTCCAGCTGCAGTCCACTCTTTGTGAATCTCCCCCACATTTTTGAATGGGTTTTGTTTCACAATCCTCTCCAGGGTGTGGTTATCTCTCTTGCTTGTACACTTTTTTCGACCACATCTTTTCCTTCCCTTCGCCTCTCTATTAATGTGCTTGGACACTGAGCTCTGTGAACAGCCAGCCTCTTTAGCGATGACCTTTTGTGTCTTGCCCTCCTTGTGCAAGGTGTCGATGGTCGTCTTTTGGACAACTGTCAAGTCAGCAGTCTTCCCCATGATTGTGTAGCCTATAGAACTAGACTGAAAGACCATTTAAAGGCTTTTGCAGGTGGTTTGAGTTAATTAGCTGATTAGAGTGTGGCACCAGGGGCCATCAATTTTGAACCTTTTCACAATATTCTAATTTTCTGATATGATGAATTTGAGATTTTCATTTGTTGTCATTTGTAATCATCAAAATTAAACAAAATAAACATCTGAAATATATGAGTTTGTATGTAATGTATGAATATAATATACAAGTTTCACTTTTTAAATGGAATTACTGAAATCAATCTACTTTTTCATGATATTCTAATTTTATGACCAGCACCTGTACATCAGAAACTTATTTCCTCCTGAGGGTCTGCAAATAAGACCTGCTTTTTAGATACACACAGGAGGTTATTTTTAGATGCAGCAACATAAGAAAATATTGGATATTGGATTTAATCTTTAATAAGAAAACACATCAGAAACTTTAGGAATAAAGGCCAGTTTAGTAGTTCTGGCTTATTACTGCTCAGCATGTGGTTCTTTAGTGGCCAGAGGAGCTGGGAAATCATCAGAAGCTCATAAACTTACTTTAGTTTGTGTCCAGGGTTCATATTAATAACAGGAAGTTTATAATATAAACTGGGCGACTTTACCTATAAATTGTTATTTTAGTGTCTGTTTCTTTACACTTGCAATAGTCCACAGTATTGATCTCAGTTGCATACATTCAACTTCTTCTGTTTGAACCAAGTTCAGTCAAGAAATGTTTCAATCACCAACATTTTCACTTAGTAACTAAAACCAAATGAACCATTTCCTGATCAGCCATCCATCTTTTCCCTCTTTTCAGTCAGGGTCACAATGTGGCCAGTAGTCTATTTAAGTCACTTTTAGGGGTGGTTTTACTGAATTTACACTCAACAAAAATTTAAACGCTACAATATAGTTTTGCTCCAAATTTTTATGAGATGAACTCAAAGATCTAAAACTTTTTCCACATACTCAATATCCCCATATTCCTCAAATATGGTTCACAAACCAGTGTAAATCTTTGATAGTGAGCACTTTTCCTTTGCTGAGATAACTTCACAGGTGCGGCATATCAAGATGCTGATTAGACACCATGATTAGTGCACAGGTGGGCCTTACACTTCCCACAATAAAAGGCCACTGTGAAAGGTGCACTTTTATCAAACAATACAATGCTACAAATGTCCCATGAGATGTCCCACCTCATAAAAAATGGGAGCAAAACCAAAGTGGTGCATTTATATTTTTTATTGAGTGTACATTTTACTTTTACACATAGAGTAAAATGACTCTTTACCCTGTTGTCTACTGTAAAGATTCATTTTATAAGTTTAGTAAGTTTAAGTTTAAAACAGTTTGAAAGGTGGTACTTCTGCTTGAATTTATTATTTAATAATCATGTTATATTTTAGTATTTTCTAAATCATTTTATACTTTGGAATACCAGCATTTGCACATAACTATTTGCCTGATTAATTCCTTTTAAACAGTCAATCAAATTTTATGAGCCAACAATCACTCAGTGCTTAAGTAGCCATTTTAACATGCGCCTTTTCACTCTTACTTGAGTAATTTGTTGAATGAAAACTTTTTACCTCACCTGAGGAAAAATATATTTTAAGGTAGTGTTACTCTTACTGGGATAAAATGTTTGGGTAATCTACCAACCTCTGTCCACATTCAGTCCACATCCAGTACGCTGTCATTGTCACTTATTAAGGATGGTTCAGAAAGTTATTTTGAATCAAACATTGATATTTAATAGCACCCTTTATTTTTACATATGAGTAATATAAAGAACTATAATTTTGCTTTGAGTCATCCGTAGGTCTTTGAGTATATGAGCTATTGGTTGTTAATATTTAAGTTTCAATTAGTTCACTGGAATTCCTTTATTTATGCTTGTTTAATAACTTACTTATAATTACATGTAAGAAACTTGACCCGAGGATTAATTACTAAGGAATTTTAAATAATAAGTCAACGAATCAGTCTCTGATCATTTACTTAACAATACATTACCATTAATTATTAGTGTTTTATATCTTTGGATTAGAGATTAAATGGTGAATTAATTTCAGTCAGCAATTAATTCCTCACTTTTTAATTTGGGTGGTTAATAACTTTTAACTAACTTTCATTGAATCATTAGATTTGATCACCGCCATCATATTGCATTTCATCATCCTTTATGCTCATGTATCAGCCTGATTGTGTGCACCATACTGTGGAGACTTTTCCAAATATTTAGGGTATGATTTTATCTTCTTTTACTGTCTGTCAATTATTTATCTAGTATGTTTATTTAGTTGAATTAACCATAATAGCCTCCATTCCTCGTGTTTCTGAACAGATTCTGTTCAGCTCTTATTATACGATGATCTACTTGTGCTCCTCACTCTTTTTATGTTTAAGCATAAGTTAAAATATTTTATATTCTTTAGTATAAAGTACTGACTCAGTTTTCACTAATTCCATAAACAGAAACAAAATGCTTCTTTGAGAAATACAATTACCAAATTATTAAGTACATAATATGTTTGATCAATAATTATGTAATCATTTAATGAAAATCAGCAATTAGTTTAACTTAATCAATGGTCAATCATACATTTTCTAATTTTACTCCTTTTTTTAAGCATGGAAGCAAATTATTTGGTGTTCAATTTAAACAGTTACCCAGATTCTTCTTCATGCTGTCTGAATTTTTTGATGGTGTCATGTTTGAATAGATCATGTACCTGCATCTGACCATATGTTTCTGCTTTTCTCAGTATTTTGTGTTCACAGGAGTGCTGGCGATGGTCACCTGCGCCGTGTTCCTGCGGCTGAACTCCGTGCTGAAACTGGCCGTGCTGCTGGTGATGATCGCCATCTACTCTCTGCTGACCGAAGCTTTCTACACCTCTCTGTTTGTTCGTTACGACACCGTCCACCACAACACAGAGTAAGTATTTCTAGAGTGGTGTTCCATTCAGGACGAGGTTCTGTGATCTGTTCCAACTTGAGCTGTTAACTTTTTAACATTGTATTCCAAGGATCTGAATAAAATGCTGCTGTTGATGTTGTGTAAGCTACATGACATTCACTAGATTTTTTAATTCATTTCTCCTGACTATACATCCTTGACTATATACAGTGGGGGAAATAAGTCTGTATTTGACCCCTTGCTGATTTTGGAGGTTTGCCCACTTACAAAGAATGCAACAATCTACAATTTTAATCATATGTACATTCTAACAGTGAGAGACAGAATCCCAAAGAAAATTCCTAAAGCAAAGCCAGCATCCTTATAGTTGCATCCATGTTTAACATGTTCTCAGACGCAGGCGGAGTTTCAGGGTCAGACATCATTAACGATCACGTCCTTTCACTTTTGAAAAGTTCATCAACAAACATCCATCTTTGCCACAATCCTTTTTCAAAAGAACGACTTTGCTTTCTGTAGTGATCAATTGTTTCTCTGTAGCACATTGGCGCTTTCATTGATAAACTCAATCAGCTGATTTTACTCACCCGGAGCTGGCTGCTTTCTTTGTTTGTCTGTGAGTGATCGTCAGGATCCCCCAATCTTGCTTTTTTCTTCAAGTCATCAGTGAAGTTTTTCTACTTGTTACGGCTAATCTTGCAACCTAGTAAGTTCCCAGAAAAAAAAAGCCAGAGTAGTTTTTAGGAGGAGCTTTTCGACTCACTCAAAAATAAAAAACAGTTGCAGAGAGTTTTCTGGTTTCAAAAGGAGTTTTCTTTACTAATAAATAAAAAAGAAATAACAGGCAAGTTGGGCTGCAGCCTTGCAGCAAGAAACTTCTGGGTTCGGTTCCCTGCCCGGGGTCTTTCTGCATGGAGTTTGCATGTTCTCCCTGAGCATGCGTAGGTTCTCTCCGGTTACTCCGGCTTCCTCCCACAGTCCAAAAGCATGACTGTTAGGTTAATTGGCTTCTCTAAGTTCTCCTTAGGTGTGAGTTTGTGCACGAATTGTTGATTTTCCTGTTTGTCTCTGTGTTGCCCTGAGATGGACTGGCGACCTGTCTAGGGTGTATCCTGCCTCTCGCCCATAGACAGCTGGAGATAACCAGCACCCCTCGCGACCCCAGTAGGGATAAGCGTGTCGAAAAATGGATCTCCAAGTTGACTTCACTCCTCACTCCTTCACCAAACAATCAGATCAACCACAGCAGCCACTTCTGCTTGTTAATCACAGCAGGAGGCGGACTGACAAGGAGGGTCAAATAAAAATAAATAACAATTGATCAGATAACATTCTGTAACAATAATTTAGCAAAAACAAAATTACTCTAAATCTTAAGAGGCTCAAACAGCTCGTCATGTTTCATGTGGTAATTTCATAGTACGCCTACACTGGAATAAGGAAAAAATTCTTAAATTAAGTGCATTTACCCTTGATTTAAATAGGTAAATTTGATAATTTGACAATGGAATGAGTATTTTTACCCTTAAAATAAGATAATTAGATAATATGCACTTGAAATAAGAAAATGCAATTGTGTTTTCTTATTTTAAATCTAAATTGTCCTGTTCCATTGGCAAAATGTCTCTTTAATCTCCTCAATTTAAGAACAAATGCACTTATTTCAAGAAAAAATGACTTATCTAGATTTTGATTTTTTTCCAGTCAGGTCTGAAGACTGATTCGTTCCCACCCCCAATCAGATATACATCCACCCTAAAATATAAAGGTGAAAGTCATCATTAGTATACACATAGCTTCCAAGTGTGAGAATAGATTAATTATTTTTTTATCGCCAAATAAGAGTCGGTGTTATTGCAGCCATTAAGGCCGATAACGGCCCACCACTCGAGGAAACTGAGCTTTCCCTTCTGTTATTTAATTGTTTTGCCTAATTAAATTATTCAGCCTTTTCTCTTTTTAATTACTCATCAGCATTAGATATTTAATCACATCTATGTCACTGCATCTGTACTTTCTAATGTTGTTTTATGTAGAGCAACTTGAATTGTCTAGCCAATGAAATATATATAAACTTGTCTTGCCTAAAGTGTTTTTGATTGGTCTGATCTAAAATTATACTCTTAAATCTCATGTTTTAATTACCAGTAAGCAGAACATCATCATAATTAACAGAAATTAAGCCTTGAAACCATCTCTCTTTGTCTATTAATTGATATGAGTTTGTAAAATGGAAAATGATAAATAGCCTATACCTACTAACACATATAGCACTTTTTAAGGAGGACTTGACCAAAGCGCTTTACACTACATTCAGTCATTTTCAATCATATTTTTATTCATTGAACTCACCTATACATGTTGAATACTATTCTGCTGTATGTCAGTAAAAATAATAAACTGCATATTTTATACTTTTATATGACAGGATGAGAAATAAAATGTGTTTGAACAGTTCCCACCTGCTGTGATGCTTTCTGTTTATTTAGGTTGTTCTTCACTCTAGAGATCAAAACAATTCCAGCATCAACAAATCAGAGCAATAAAATAATACCAGGCTATGCAGGAATTGAAACGAAAGATATACTGTATTGAGGAAAGTTATATGAAGTGATAAAAATATATAAAATGAAATTCATTAAGATATGGTCAGCATCCTAAAAAATGTAGCTGATCCATATTTAAAGTAAATTATTTGGAACAATGCCTTTGCTTGGAGGGTTTTTTTGTGTGTGTGTTTTTTGTTTTGGGCATTATTTAGTTTAGCTGCATCCTATCTCTAACTTAAGAACCTTTTAAGAACTGAGAACAAAGACTTCAGTTTTACATTAAGCTTTGGAAGCAGGCCAGTCGTAATACGAAAGTCTGTTAGTGTTATAGACTTAAGTCCTATGGAATCAGCATAAATATGGTAAAAGGTGTATGAAGGCATGCAGATGGCACTGCTGTGTGATACAGGACCTTATTTCAACAGTGGACTGGCCGGGCACCACTTTCACATTTTAATAATAGAAATCCCAAATAGTATTTAGATTTCCAAAAAAAAAAAAATCCACAGGAATTTGTTTCCAAGTTTGAAGACGTTTTGCTTTCCGTCCAGGAAGCTTTTTCAGTTCAAATGTAAGGAATAGCGTTGAGTTTCAGGTTGTATACAGTAGCCCTACAAGGGCTTGTTTTTGTTTTGAAAACAAACTTGATTTTTTCGGTCTACTGTGAAAAACTTGAAAACAAAGTCCAGTGGATTGTTTTTGATTTTCTTTTTTTTGGAGTGACTATGACCTGGACAACTGAGAATCTTCACCAGCAGTATGCATATATGAAATGTAACAAGCGCAGGTATAACTGAGAGGATTAGTGTGAGGATGAATACTGAGATCAATTAAGCAAGAAGCCTAGTGAAGACAACAGCAATCCTCTACTCTATAACCGCAGCTCTGCCACATTTACATCATCAGTAGCCGTTCAGATTCAATATGCATCTAATTACCAGATAAAATAACTCATAAAGCATAAAAATAAAATATATGACACTCACCAGTGATACTGATTATTTATAAGTGGGGAGTGTTGGCCTAGTGGTTAGAGCAGTGCGCTTGTGCTATAAGAAGGTTGCAAGTACCCATTTCGATCCCCACAGCCTGCACTCTGGGTGCCTGAGCAAGACCCTTAACCCCCACACTGCTCCCTGGGCGCCGCACAATGGCATCCCACTGCTCCCCAAGGGGATGGATTAAATGCAGAGGTAAAAGTTTTTTTTTCAGTTTGAGATCAAAAAAGTTAAATTATTATTATCTATTATTATCAAAATACAAAATTCATCCTTCTGTCTTTGTGCAGGAAGTTGTAGTATCTCCATTTAGTATCAGCCATTAACACCATCGATCTCTGTTTATTTAACTAGGGTGAATAGTTGAATACTTTTTTCCCACTACACGCCAGACAACCTTTTAACAGAAGCGAATTTGAAATGCAGATTGTCGCTCGCTTAACATGGCTGTAAATGTTTTGCTCTAACTGACCAATCAGAGGACAGAAAATGCTGACTTATACAGTAGATGGGCCCTCTAGCTGGCCCAATAACATGTTTCATCCATCTGAAATTTTATGTCCAAATAACCAAATGAAGTGGTTATTTGGACATAAATCATGTCGTCATTTCAACCATTTTTTGCTCGGTGGATATGTCGTACACGGGGCTGCGCTTGCAACACCAATGGTTTAGATCAGGGCTAACCAATTAAAAATCAGCGGGGTCCGAATAAAGAAAATCAACAACCTATAAAGTTCCGGAGACATTTTTGATTATAATCTGTTACTTTAAACAGCATTTAACACTGAAATAAAATTAGGTTTATGCAGCCATGTTATACATTGAATTTTTAATAAATAAAAAAAATAAATAAATAACTTTGGAACATTTTTCTATTTGAAAATCTTAAGTGTTTTTTGAAATAGAGAACAAAAATCTTTCAGTTTGGTATATAGCCAATTTCCTGATTCTCATATTTTATAAATCACCTGAACTGACCGTTCATTTTTTTTTTCTTTCTTTTGTCTGTCTTAATGAGAGCAGTGGGCTTTATGCTGCCCTGCAAGGATTTAAACCTGGTTTGAATGGAGACAAAGCCATTCTCAAGCACATATCACTGTGCTCATTTTGAGCCTGGATCTATATTTATTTTTGATTCTGTTCATGGAGTGAGCATCCTGCTTCACAGCAGCAGGTTGAGCCAAACATATTTAAAATGTGCAGGGTCATCTTTGAGCACCATTTCACTTTTCTTTCACCAGTTCACCGCAGTTCTTCGAGCAGTCCACACTTTCTCTGCTCTCTCTTTCTTACCGTCTTCTCCTTCTTTCCCATCGCCCGGCTTTCCACAGGTTTGCCTGCTGTGTCTATAAGTAGCTAGCAGGAGCAGCCTTGACTGACAGCTGAGTGGCTAATTTGTATCACATCCAGCCTGGTGCCGGACGCTCTGGAGAGCTTTACCGTACAAAAAGGAGAAGCGGTGCAAGTGAAATTAGACACTGTTATTGGACAACATGCAATAATTTATAATTTTTTTAAATCAGGTTGGGTCCAGATTAGCCAGCAGATGGGTCCGGATCCACCTAATCCGTGAACTCTGGTTTAGACTATACAATGCTGATCGGCACTACAGAGCATTAACTGTTAAAACCAGCCATCACAATGTCATGATCTGGCCTGTTTGCTCCTTAATTAGTCATTCCTTTCACCTGTCGTTTTCCCTCCCTGCCTCAATTATAATTTATTCCTCTCACCTGTTTCCTCTGGTTTATATTCAGTTCAGCCTGAGCATTCAGTGCCATATCATTACTTGTCTTTCTGTCAGCCTGTCTGTTAGTTTTATTTCCTTGGTTCATGTCCTGGATCCTAGCTGCCAGTGGAAAGAGGGTTTTAGTGTTTGTCTCGTCTCCTGATCGTCCACTGTTCCTCCCCCGCGGAGTCCTCTGGGTTTTGGCTCATTATGGGGGGAGGTTCAGTTTTTATCCAGTACATGTAAGCCTGGCTCCAGGAAGGAGACCAGTTTAAAGTCCAGCTTCAAGTTCCGGTTAGTATGTCCTGTCTCGGCTACCCTCTTCCACTGTGCCTGCTCATCTGCACCTGATCCTGTCTGCTCCTGTGCGTGACCACCTGGTCATGCTTCTGGTCCCAGTCAGACTCTGAACCCTCCTGGAAGCTTGTGGATGCCTGGAAGTCTGGATCCTGCCACCTGTTTCTGTTCCTGCCTGATCTGGATCCTGCCTGTTCTGTCTTTTCCTGTCTGTTCTGGATTCCTGACCAGGATCGGCTTCCAGCATGACCTCCGGGACTGCAGCACTGGGGACATTCGTGGTCTGGACCGTTAAACCAGAGTGTCTGAGATTGGGCGGTGCCCCGCCCCCCCCGCCTGCAGTGTCCACAAGCCACAGCTCTGCTTTTGTTTTGTTTTATTAAATAAACATTTTGAACTTTCCTACTGACTGTCTCTCCTTGAATGCTGGGTCCATCTGTCCTCTGTTCATGACACACAAATACAGTTTCTTCCTTTAGGTTGTCTCTTTTTTTTATATATCTGTACTTTTAATGTTGTCATGTAGAGCAACATAGAACCAAAATCAAATTCCTTGTTTGTTTACACCGACCCGGGGAATAAAGCTGATTCTGATTTTGAATTAAAGAGGGCAAACAATAGACCCTTTTGAGGAACCCCTGTGAAGGCTGGTTTTGTTTCTTAGTGTTTCTTCCAAGGAAACAAATTAATTCTACTCTATAAAGATAGAGTTTATAATATTTTAAAATTATATATTCTCGTCTTATGCTCTACCCTGAGAGATAATGTAAAGTTTGCACAAAAATATTTCATCTGGGATTCAACCCGAATACTTTAAAAAATAAATCCTAACCATTGCACCACTGTTTAAAACCCAAACACAATATTTAAATCTGCACCTAGACAGTCAACAATTTTATCACAGTACAAGACTTCAATTTTAAGTTGCTAGAAAAAAGCTTCTTTCCCTAATGTTTCCACTGTAAAGAAGGAAAAACTCTCCAGGCTGGGGCAATAAAAGTCTGGATATGCGTTCTGCCAGCACAGAGTTTATATCTGAAACAAAAGAATCAAAACAAAACAGCGCAAATCAAAACAACTCATAAAATATTAATTTAATGAATCCTTTTCATTCACTCATCTCATTTACTCTCAGGACTAGAAGAGCCCTTTTGCTCTCCATCAATATTGTTTTTGCTTTGTTATCGATCAACATAATTCAAATTGCAATTGCCAATTTTTGTGGCAGGTCAAGCGTGACATTAGATACAGCATAAAACCTTCATTGTAATCTTGATTTACTCAATGATGCATAAAAATCCCAAAGTTTCTGCAGGAGCATGTTTGTGTTTTTATGGACACCAGCAAGTTTGGGTCTAAGTTTTGTTTCTAGCCTCTTTACAAAAATAAAAAAATACTTCAAAGGATTTATTACTGTCACAAAGTGATCCCCCGTGCTGAAAACAAATCATGTGCTATTTTTCACTTGTTATGTGAGTTTGGCTCTTAACTCTGGAAAATGCCTGAAGCAGCATCTCTACATCTCTCTGAGCCGATAATCCTCAGTGAGCCCCTGCAAAGTTTCGGAGATGAAAAAAAAAACATGTTAGTTTGAAGTTTTTCATAAGATTATGACTCCTCTCTTGTGTGTATCCTGTTACATGTTGCTGATGTTTTGACTTAAAGCAAGTTGATCTGAAGTTTTTCTCTGAATATGGCATGGCTAAAAGGAATGCATGCTTTTAATATCAAAAGAAATTAGATTGTATCACCAATTACATTTAATTTTTAATTTCAGTCCAAACACAACAGGAAAGTAGAAACAAAGCCATGATATATTTACAGGCCATTTATTTGCCTTTAGTTTCTGATTTCTCTTTGTGCTTCACTGTGATAAAAGAAAAAAAAAGAACAATACAAAAATTAGCACAATAAGCAGCTTCTTTTCTTTTCTCGTCCATCAGGAACTTCTTGGGAACCAAAGAGACGTCTTTGCTCCTGATGGCCATGTTCCTTCTCGCCGTGTTTTACCATGGTCAGCAGGTAAGTCCAAACATGCTTTGTTTAGTTTGTTAATCAATTAATATCTATTTCACTAAAAGATTCTTAGCATAGATACAAATGTTTCTTATTTGCAATGATTATATTAGACTTTTTCAGGTCTGTTTCACTTCAGATAAAGATCTTCTTAAGGTCATCGTTATACCCCATTTACGACGAACGCCCTGCTACTGTGAAATAACTGAGCCCCTATGTAATGGTCCTTGCAGGGTCTTGATGTCTTCTGAGGCATAATAACAGAGCATAGCAGGCTCTTCATTACGCCTGATATACCGAATAGATGGTTAGGAGTTTTTTGTGCATTATCTTTGTGGCTGCATATCCATGATGTGGGGTTTGCATGTGCAGACATGGTTTGGTCTCTGAGAAATCGAAGCCACTCAGGCCTGATGTCTCAGCTACATGATACCCATGACGGTAATGCTGCACAACCTCGGAGTGCATGGCTGCATCTTAATTTGATGCGGGAAAGGGTGGGGCAAATAAAGGGCTTCTTTGGGAAATGGTAAAATGCAAGTGAATAATCAATAAGGCAAGTATTAACAGTGTAGCATCGTATTATGCCAGATATATTTTCTTCAGTTTAAAAAAAATATCTGGGTCTGTACCTGATGTGTCTATGGCCATTTTTGCACTTTGTGATATATCCCTAATCCTAAACACAGCGAACAAACGAGCTTCCTACTAACAAGCTCAATTTATGTTGAGCCCTGCTAATGAGCAGCATGTGATTTGAGTATGATGGCGGTCAGACACATGTCAAGTTAGCCTTTTCATGACCCGTTTTCACAGTGATCCACTCAAAAAATACTCCTCCTTGACAATCTGAGATTCTGATTTCTTTGGCACATTTCTGCTTCTATGCTACAGTCATTTATAGAGGTCAATTTTTAATTGTTGCATAAGAGAAACAGATGTGAAATAAAAAACTAGTGAAATGCATTTTAATTGCATTGCAGCTGATTCTATCACAAAAAGCCAAAGTGCACTGTCATAACAGTTTTTAAAGCAAAATACATGATAAACATGGATATCCAGTCCATGTGTGCAGTTGTGCAAGAAAGTTTACATACCCTCCCATTAAAGAAAAGGATAAATTCACAAGAGTAATTCTAATAACAGAAAACTGAAAAAATACATTTACCAAATTATATTTAAGGGAAATAAAAAATTGATTTTGAATATTATTGCCCTAACCTTGATGGAAATGCAACAAGTCAGGTTTGAGAAATGTTTTTTATGGTTCTTAAAGTAGCACCTGAGGAATAAAGGTTCATCTTAGCTTTGGCTCAATGGTTAATTGAATTATAAAATCCTAGTTTTTGGGTGTGGAGCAAAGTTAAATGAAATTGTTAATGTGAGGCAGCTGAGATGGAGAACTTGTCTCCCCCAGCACATTGCCTGAAGAAGTGATTACACATGGTAAGGAAGGGTTTTAAATAAGCAGCAAATGAATTCATTTGTCTTTGTGAACCTGACTCAATAATCAATCCGGTTTCATCGGTTTCACGCAATTCTCTCCATTCTGTTGCATTAACTGAGGTACCCTGCACCACAACAAGTTCACTTTGACAATAAACTTCTTGGGCTGAAACATCCCTGTTTCCAAACTAAATTAAAGTCAGTCAATTTATTTTCCTTGCAGACTCTCCTACTGCGCTGCACCTAATTGGAAATAAAAAAAGCTTTAATTATTGCACAAATGAGTAGATTTACCCGACCATTAAATTAAAAAACATAGAGTAATTGCACACTTTATTTAACAATTAAAAGTTTCATCATTATATCAGTAATGATGGAGATGGCTGAGTCATACATATTGTAGGTACGAAGATCAGCAAAAAGGATTTATAATACAGAAGTATCAGCCTACTAAAACATTTGTGCTGTTCACTGCTTGGTCAGAGCTTATTTTGTACAAGTTACTTTATGACTGTGGAGGAAATAAGGGCAGTCAGTAGCCTAGGTCTGCTGACTACCCTTATGTCCTCATCTCATCTTCCTCCTGACAGCTTTCCATAGAATCTTTTTTGTGGGAATAAAGTCATACCGGTCCAGCACGCAGATAAACCAGGTTTTGGCTTCTTTAGCAGAGTGGATGGCAGCCAAAATTTCTTAAAAATAAAGTCAGGATCTTCATAAAGCCTAACACTAATGGTGGGATGCTAATACCACAACCTCCTTGCTCTCAACATCAATCCCTATTAATGAGAAGACCAAGGATTTTTTAGTTTGAAAAACAATAAGAAGAAACACATAACACAACACATAAGATATAAAATTGAAACATTATATGTGAATATTCTGTACCAAAAGCAGTAACAGAAATCTTTGTAGACTGCTATCTAGCACAAAATTCTCAACTTATTCACAGGGTATTAATAAACCAAAACCTATTGGTAATATAGTACTATTTCTCTGCTACAGTTTGGGTCATATACATGACTCCTGTGTCACATCCAATCTCTCCTCGCATTCAGAGCCCATAAACATTCTCTCTGTGACCCATTAGTTGTGGGGATGAGAGATTGCAGCGGCGATCATCTATGCACCCATGCCAGAGCTGTCCTACCAGTTTCTAGTGATGTTCATCATGTTACCGTACTTTCCAGACTATAAGCCACTACTTTTTTCCCATGCTTTAAACAATGCAGAGGTGTCTAATTGCAGAACAAATGCAGAGACCAGGAGGCAGAGGAGAGTCTCGCAGGTTTAATGAGGCAGAAATCCAAAAAACAAATACAGAAAGCCAGGATCCAGGGACAATCAGGGAAAACACACATGAGGAGCCAGGGAAATATGAGGACCAGCACTGTGGAACTACACAGGAAGAGTATATAAAGGAGACAGAACAAAAACTTTACTAATGAGCTGACAAAGAACAGGTGTGGATGGAAGCGTCTAGATCAGGCATCCCCAAGGTCAGTCCTTGAGGGCCGCTGTCCTGCAGGTTTAAGAGGTGTCTCTGCTCCAGCACAGGTGATTTACATTGAAAGCTGATTAACAGACTTTTGCTGAACTGCAATCATCAGAATCAGCTGTGCTAAAGCAGACAAACCTCTAAAAATCTGCAGGACAGTGGCCCTCAAGGACCAAATTTGGGGATGCCTGATCTAGAAGGAAGCCAAGAGGAAAGGAAACAAACACAAGGGGGCAACAGAGAGTAACTCAAGGAAAACAAAAGCACTCAAATTTTTTTTTCATTCACATGTTTTGACATTTATTTGCCACATTATTGCTGTTGAACCAATGAGCTGTCTAAGCTGCGAGACGCAAGCTAATGGGAGCTAGCATTCTTCTTCATTCCCATTCTAAGGGGGGGTATGTAGAGCTCCCCCTACAGGCCTGGTGGGGCACAGCTCTATAGATGTCAGCAGGCTTATAAGCCAGTGCAGCTTATAACTGTCTGTTTCCATTTTTTTTTTTAAACATACTGGGTGTGGTTTATCGTGAGGTGCGCTCTATAGTAGGAAAAAAAAAATATTTTTAATGTATAAATGTTCCATAAAATCTCTGGCAGCTGCATTTTTCTCTTCCAAGCTCCATCTTTTGAATTCCACCAAAGTCTGTTATGAAATATTAACCCTTACCATATCTTGAGGCTTGGACAGAATTTTAGAATGGCATATTCAACATCTTAATGTAATAAGAAATACATATATAAACACAGATATAAAAACAAGTAAGCACAGTTTAAGATAATTTATTATTCATGTTTATACAAAAAAAATGGACGTTAATTAAACGTCTGGAAAATCACAGCAACATTAAATGAGAAAGGAAACCCATGCTTTGCAGAATATTTAGGTGGAGCAGCTGTAAGGAATAAAAAAATAAATCATCAAGAAATCTTAATTTTAATTATAAAATAGGGCTGGGCGATAATTCAATAACGATATATATCGATCGATAGACGTGTGGCGCAATAGAAAAAAAGAGGGTAGATAAAAGTTCGATAAAAAAGAAACGCAGTTTTCCTTCCTTCTCATTGTAGCCTAGCATGTAGGTTTATGCTAGTCACTGCTTCCTCCCAACCAGGGCCGGTTCTAGCCCTTTGGTTGCCCTAGGCGAGATTGAGTTTTGTTAACAAAACTCAATCTCTCAATCTTTGTTGTTAACAAATTTAACACACATTAAACAAATATTAAATAAATCAATTTCAGAAATTACCAAATAACAATAAAAAATAATAAATTTAAGAAATTCTTCAACCAAGGACTACATAAAAAAGTAATTGATAAACATTAAATTAAATTTTCTGTTCCAGTTCAATTAAATCATTTGAACACAAATAGAAATGAGATAAACAAAATTTTCCTCTAAATAAAATATATCAGGTATATTTACCCTGATTTCTGACATTGATTAGTGATTAAAGAAAGGATTAACCCTCTACAAACAAAAGTGCTTTTATGAATACCATTACAAAATTAAAAGTTTGAAGTTGTTGTTTTTTTTTGTTCACATATTCTATGATGAACAGCCATAACTTCATATATTTTGATGATTATTTGTACATCCCTTTTGAATACTCAATGCAGATAATCACTACAAAATATTTTATTTATATTAGTATCTTCTACCCATTCTCAAGCTAATAATATAGCACATAATTCTGCTGCATATATATACTGAGAAAAAAATGATGTCAAGATTAGGGATGGGGATCATTAATATTTATTGATATCGATACCTTTATCGATACTCTTTATCGATCCGAGTCTTTATCGATACCACTATCGATACTTTTCTGTTATTTGGTGGAAAGACGATGCAACAAAATTTTATTAACAGAACTGGTATTGCTTCTATTGCTTAACAAGTGAGCATAACAAAAACGTTTCCAGCCTTCAATGAACATGGCTAATGTAATAGGCCACTTCGAAATGACATAAAACTAACTAGAATATATTTTCACAATTGTTGGTTAATGTATTGTCTACTGTCACTTTTCATCATGTTTTTAGTGATTAGGAAAATAT